GTGAAGAACACACACTCTGGCGGAAGCTACCGCGACGACAAGGGCAGTGGCAGTGCGACCATGACGTCTCCTGGGCCGGGGGGCGAGAACAAATCTACTGCAGAGGGGCCGAGTACTAGCACCGGTAGTTCAGAAGACACCGCGGTGGAGCAGTCTGATTCCGAGCCAGACGCGGCACAGCAGCAGCAGCAGCAGCAATCCACGAGTCCTCCAGCAAAGCAAATGTCTACTGCGAAGGACAACGTGCACAAGATTTTCAGTGACAGATACAAGTCGGAAGAGAAGGAGGAAGGAATCAGCGAAGATTCCAACGGCGCGTCCAGCAACAGCAACCTCGGTGGCCTGATTGGCAGCATGATGAAAGGAAGAGCTACTTCTTCAAATGAGCAGGACGAGAATACTTTCCCCGGAGGAGACGAAGATGAACCTGCGGAAGGAGACACGAGCACGTCGGTGGAAGAAGAGACCGGAGACAGCGCCACGGCGGTGTCGGAAGAGGACCAGCAACCCCCGGCTCCCTCGCCGGAGGACGGTGGGGCGGACGGAAATCCGAACACCGCGCCCGCGCCAAGTCCGGATACTAGTTCATCGGCCTCAAATACCGATCCGATCAACATCACACCGCCCAGCTCCGAGACCCAGCCCGGGTTCGTGCTCCCCTCGCAGGCCCTGACGCACCAGGACCAGGTCCGGCTGACGCTCACCGTGGGGACGACCTCCGGACACAAGCTGCAGGGGAACGCAAAGACCTGTGGCGAGGTGAACGTGTTCGCGAACGGGGATCAGGTGCTGAATTTGACCACCTGGGCGGTGGAGCCGGAGTCCACGGGGGTGGTGTCGTTGACCGAGTGCACGGAAATCAACTTTCGGCAAATCGGGGACGTGGACATCCGGTGTCCGAAATTGGTCCTCGGCGTCGAAGTGCCCAGCGCGAGCGACGCCGCGGCCGCGGGTGGGCAGAACAATCACGAGTTTGTGGCCGCGCCCGGCGAGGGCGTTTTGCTCCAGTTGCGGAAGTGCGAAGGATTGGGCTGGGACTGGCGCTATTCCGTCCCCGCAAGCGCTGAGCCGGCGAAGTGCGCCTGGGGGACGGCGGGGGACGTGCCCTTAATCCCCCCGAACATTTTGAACGCAAACGCAGCGAATGCATCAAACACGGCCACGACGACAGCCGCGCCGGCTGCTTCATCTGGGGGAAATAACCAGCAATTCCCGGTCGCCAGGGACCCGAAGAACCAAGGCGGAAGCGGTATTAAGTCGGACGATGAGTCTACGTCTAGCGGAAAATCAGGCGCAACGTTGCTGAAAGCTACAGCGGGTGGTGGTGGTCCTTCTTCTCGTGGCAAGAACACATCAGGTTCTGCTGCTGGCGGAGCTGCGGCTTCCTCTACTTCTCTTGCGAAGAACGTCCAATCGTGGCTAGAATACGGGCGCTCTTTGTTACCGCCGAATCCGTTAGGAAGCAGTGCTGGTGGTACCTCTACTGCATCTACAGACGACACGTCCCAGAAGACGTTGTCTTTCGACTTGCAGGACACTGGCAAAAATAAAGGACAAGCACCCGAGCAGAGCGGTTTGAGGAAGACGAAAAGAACAGGGAACAAAGAAGTAGCAGCGAGTGGAAAAGCAACGTCAAGTGCTAGTGGTGGGAAAAAACTTTCCGCGACGTCGTCCACGTCGCTGCTAGAAATACAGCAGTTCGTCGACGCCCCGGAAAAACCAGTTTCGAAAGCGAAGGAGAGAAAGTTGGAACAAATCTTGAAAACTGCGTTGTTGCAACTACCAAAGAGGGAACCCGTACCTGCTGCTGCTGATCCACCGGAATTTCTACAGGTCGAGCAGGAAAGGACAATATCGAGGAGGAAAAATCGGGAAACAAGCCGACAAACGGTCGGAAAAAGCCACAAAAACCATCAGAAACCCGCTACAAATAGCAATTCGGGCATCGGCGGTTTGATTTCCAGTTTTCTGAAGAACGCGGGTTCGGACCCAGACACGTGGAAAGAAGTCCTGGACGCGGTGGATTCCGATGATAAGTTGAAGGCGCAGTTGGGGAAAATCCTCCGCGACAACCCGTCGCTATGGGCGAAGTTGCTTGCTGCCGTGAAGGACGACGAGAAACTTGCGTCGCGGGTGACGGAGCTCTTCGGCAGAAATGTAGAAGGGGGCGAGGACGACGAGGATAGCGACAGCACATCAACATCAGGAGGGGACGACACTGCCACCACAACCGCCGCCCCCGCTGATTCCTCGTCCACCGTCGCTCTAGCCGTTACGCCCTACCCAACCCCCCTGCCCGACACCCCGTATCAAAATGAAAAATCCCCCCACCCCATATCAAAGCGAAGTTTGTGATGCTGGATTTGCGTACACAAATCAGATTTGTCATGCTGGAGAGGACTGCAGCCCCATACCAAGCCTGAGCAGAGAGGTTTTAGACTAGGCTCTTAGCATGAGAAACGTCTGCGCTGCAGGCCCAACAGCATTGCAAATCGCCTGCATAGTGCGGCGGAGGCTGTGGAGTTGCATTCTTGCAAGACAGAGATGATTTGTGGTCGCAAATCAGCATTGGAAATTTTCTGCGACGTACCTTTTCGATATGGGGAGGGGGGATTTTTCCTCACAATACCCCGCCGCCCGGGGTCACCGTTGCGTGCGGGAAGATGTGCATCGGGGACACGGGGTTTTGCGTCCTACTGGGAAAAGTTTCCGCCTTCATCAACACGAACAAGCCGAAGCCATTGGCAAAGCCGGAGAGTGCGAGCCTGCCGAAAGCAGTAGCGAACTCGGCCTCGTCCAAGGCGGCGGCCAGTCCGTCGCCGAAGCCCACGTTGCTCTCCCCGGCACAGAAGTTGCTGAACCGAAAGAATGGGGACGAAGGACCGCCTTCTTCGGATTCGTCTGGTAATTCAGATGATCCAGACGAGGGTACCCCAGGAGAGCCTTCTAGTTCCACCGCGTCTTTTTCCCTGGGCACAGATCACGCGAAGGCGAAAGCAGAAGCGTCGTTGCAGGAAGTGACGCGGAAGGGGAACACACGGGTGAACCTCTGCAGAACCCTGGACCAGCAGGAAGAGGTCGGCGAGATTTCCGCGACGTGCTGCGCGCAAATCACGCTGATGGGATCCGCGTTCGCGGGCGTCGAAGATGCGAAGTTCTCGCAGTATGGGCCGGCTCAGCTGGAACAAATTGTTCAAGTGGAAATAACGATGTATTTTTTGGCTGAAATTTTTTGTCCTGCATAAGTGGACGAAGCAGAATTATCTGCATGCTCTTGCTCCAGCTATGCATGGCAAATTCCAGATGCAGATTTCAGTTCGGTTTGGAGTATCAGACACTTGTCAACTACATGTTAGGAGACAACGAACTCCATGATGGCCACTAAGTCTAGACAGAGCATTCGCATTGTCGTCCGCAGCTTGCATCACAGTTCCACCTATGATCATTCGATTCCAGCTGAGCAGGGCATACACAGTGCGAGGCGGTGGCGCCGAGCTTGCTGCTGTTAGGGATGAGACGAGTGGAAGAGACGAGCGACGGGGTAGCGAAGACTACCAGCAATTTTGGCAGCAACTACGGGGGAAGTGGAGCTGCAGAAGCGGAACCGTTGTCAGTTTCAGAAGGAAGGGCTTCGACTTCGTTTGCAGAAGGAGACGAAGAGAGAATGACAATGAAAACTCTCTCGTTGACAGTCGAAAGCAGGGGGAAGAAAAACGAGAAAAAGATGACCTCGGCTGGGGAAACCAAAATGAAATCATCTGCCAAAGATTCTACTGCTGGAGTAGAAGATGATCATGTTGAGCAAAGTAATAAATCGGCTGCCGGTGCGACGAAAACCTCTGCTGGTTCTGGAGAGAAAAAGCAAAAGGATAACAAACCGGAAAAAGGTCGTACTAGTACGTCGAAACTTGCAGCAGTGCTGGACGATCATGTTGTTAAGAACAAGAATGTAGTCAAAAACAGCGTGACCACCGTAGATCAACTAGGTCCCGCCCAAAAGAAATCGGATCTGACGATGAACTTGGTGCTCACAGACCAGCACAAAACCGGTTCAGACCAACAGCAAGATCCAGTTGCCGGAGGAACGACGGATATTGGGAAAATCCTCGAGGACACGGCAAAGGCAAAGGCCGCCGCCGTATCGCCGCCGCCGCCGCGGGACGCGAGTTTCGTGTACCACGCGGAGAACGGGGATTTGCGGCTGGACACGCTCGCTTGTGACGAGTTCATCATTCGCACGGCCACCACGGAGGGCGCGCAGCTGAGCACGTGGCGAGGGAGTCTGCGGAAGCCCTGGGAGGGCAGCGACTGCAAGAAGATTGTGATGCCGATTCCGAATACCCTGCTGTTCACGGAGTGCAAAACCATCAGCACGGGAGAGAACAGCAACGCCGTGGAGTTGAATCTGGACGAGAGCGAACAAACCAACACGACGACGCGAATGGATGCGTTGATGCTGAATTGTCAGAAACCCGGGTTTATCAAATGTAAAAATGTCTGGGTCTGGAAACTTGTAATGCTGCGTCGGGAATAGTGGATGCTCTGTAATGCACAGCCAAGCATGAGAAATAACTGCGCTCCTTTGTGCTGCGTTTTTCGCATGACAAACTGCGTTTTTGCATGAAAGGCAAAGGGGTCTCTTCTTGGACACGCATCACAAACTTTTTGGTCATGCAAGACAAGCATGACAAATCTCGGAATCTTCCAGACCCAGCCATTTTTGCATTTGATGGGGTTTCACTGGGCGCCGACCAGTAAATCTACACCAGCAGACGGAACGGAAGATTTGGTTTCCTTGAATGAAGCGAATAGACAAAAAGAGATCTTGAACAAGAATACCGGCTTTGCGTCCGGTGCCGGAAACTCCGAAGAGGACCATTCGCACACGTACGTGAACGGACAGGAGCAGCCGGTGCCGAAGGAGGAACTGGAGGAAACTACCACGCCCGCGCCCATGAAGGAAACCGGATTTACTGGCCAGTGCCGGGAGATCTGCTTCGGGGCTGTAGTCCCGGTGTGCGTCAGTTTGGAGAGCTCCTACTTGCCGAAGACGCTCACCGCGGAAGTCTCCCTCGCGGAGATCGACGCGCTTCCCGGCGGGCTGGTGGATATCCACGACTGCAACACGTTCGAAAAAATGGACTCGAACGACACCGCCTTCCCCGGAAAGCGGTTGGCGGTTTCGGGCTGCAACCGGATGGAAGCGCAGGGGAACGCCTTCTACGACCTTGACCAGCGCGAGTCGGTGGTTCTCAAGGGCTGCATGGCACAGGAAACGACGGAGCAGAGCGGGCTGCCGGTTACGGTATAGGGAAGTAGTAATTTTTTGCGAAAATAATAGAATCCTGATTAGCATCGTCTATCTTTCATGTACAACAACTTGCGCGGCCGTGCAGCTGTTTTTTTTTCGTATAAGAGCTGTCGCTTCATAGAGTTCTAGTTCTAAGTACTTAGTTCTATTCGGCACCAAGTACTAAAAACTACAATCCTCCGCAGTCCATGCCGCCGACGGAGGGCTGCGATTTGGCGGGAAAGACCCCGAAGCTGTTCACCTTCGAGTCGCAGGAATTGTTCAAGGGGGAGCCCACGCAGTGCTACAAATCGCTCCACGCCGACTCCCCGCAGATGCTGGCGCGCCGGAAGGCGGTGGCGCGGACGCTCGGGCTGCAGGACTGCCGGGTTATCAAAAGAAAAAATCCCCCCTCCCCATATCAAAAACGAAATTTGTATTGCTGCATTTGAGTACACAAATCGACTTGTATTGCCAGAGGGCCAAGCGACGCAGTTGCTCCCTCGTTTGGAGGCAATTTCTTATGCTATTTCCCGTTTCCAGTTGCCTCCTGTCATGTTGAAGATGCAAGGCGTTCCTGCGCCAGCCAGCCCCACAGTCCGCATCGCTTCCCTTCTAGCATCACAAAGCTGTTCCTGTTGATTTGTGACCACAAATCTGCATCACAGATTTCCGCTTTGATATGGGGAGGGGGCATTTTTCATTGTAATATGGGTCACCGGGGCGCGACTAGAAATCGTGAACGGGCCGGACGAAGTCATGAAGCCAGAGGAGGGGATATGAGAGTGCACAACCCCCCTCCCCTCATTTGTCATGCAAAATCCCAAATCCAGTCGCTGCCCTGTCGCACTGTTTGCATGACAAGTTCTGGCTGTAGCCAAAATAGCACTAGTACGCTCCAGTGCAAATTTGTCATGCAAAGCCGACATCCTTGCTGATGCTTGTAGTGCCATTCATGCTATAAAAATGAGGGGGAGGAGGAGTTGTGCACTGTCAAAGGGGAATATCTTCAAGTCCTGGATTACGTCGAAACACGATCGGCAGCTTATCAGAATAAAAAATTCCCCCTCCCCACATCAAAACGAAGTTTCTGATGCTGGATTTGCGTACACAAATCAGATTTTTCTTGCTGGCGCCGACTGCAGACCCATATCAAGATTGAGGTGATAGGTTTTGGCCTAGGCGCTTTGCATGACAGACGTCTACGCTGTAAGGTACAGCAGCATGACAAACCGCCTGTAGAATGCGGCGGAGTCTGTGGAGTTGCCTTCATGCAACACGGAGACGATTTGTGGTCACAAATCAGCAACGCAAATTGTCGAAAACGTGGCTTGTCAATATGGGGAGGGGGGATTGTCCCTTTTGATACAGCTGTCCTGCGACGCGACGGATCTGAGACCAGGAGACGATACGGCGGAACCTGTACTTACTAGAGGAGTGCGTTGTAGTTTTACAATTTTCGGTGCATATCATGATGAAAATAAAGTCAACAAACGAAAACCGAAGCGAAGCAGATGCTGCGTGCAGAAGCCGCAGCTCTTTTTCATCATCAAGACATCGCGGAGGACAAAAATTTGAATAAATCAACAGTCTTCCTGCTACGGGTTTCTGGCTATCCCCCAGAAAAAGACCGACAGGTCATATTTGTAATGCAAAAATAAATAGACAAAAAAATCTGTATTGCATGCCCTAAACAGGATGTTATGGCCTCGCCCATGACAGATTTTCCTGTGTATTTATTTTTGCATTACAAATATGACCTGTCGGTCTTTTTCTGTTGGATACTGGCTAAGCAGTACGGCACCAAGACCGAAGTGGAGATCTACCCGGAAGATGTTTCCGACGGAGAAATATGCATTGCAAAAATGTCTGGGTCTGGAAGAGTACAAACTTGTAATGCGCATTTCAGAACACAGAAAAGTCTCTCATGCATAGGTAGCAAAAGCTGCCCAATTTCTGTCACCAAAATGGGGGACTTGTCATGCGCATTCGGCATGCCGGAAGCTTCTCGAAACCTGTGATGCTAGAGCTTCCATGCCAGCCCTTCTGTGTCATGCAAAAACAGCATGACTCTTCCAGACCCAGACATTTTTACATTTCATAAGAAAATGCCGATATAAAGGTCAAACTCAAGGACGAACTGAACGCCGCCTTGCTCGACGCGTTACCAGACATCAAGAAGGAGTGCAGCTGCATTATGGAGGTCTTTCTTTTAGCCCTGTGGGTCATTCTTTCAAGGTTTTTCGCTTATCCCTATGGACGATCGTGATTTTGATTAGTTCAAGATGGGTCATGTTCTTTCGTATCAGCGGATCTCGAAAAAGAATTGTGGTTTTTTCACGTTCATCGTTGATTTATGACGGCGCCCAGGAACAAATGAAGGAGAAAGTCCGTCAAAATAAATCTCACGCAGGCGTCCGTCGCAGAGGTGGGGCAACTGAACCTCATCCGCGAGATATCAGAAGGAAAAATCCCCCCTCCCCATATCGAGACGAAGTTTCTGATGCTGGATTTGTTTACACAAATCAGATTTGTCTTGCTGGCAAGGACTGCAGGCCCATATCAAGCCTGAGTAGACTGGTTTTGGCCTAGGCGCTTTGCATGATAGACGTCTACTCTGTAAGTAAAACAGCACGACAGACCGCCTGTAGAATGCGGCGGAGCATGTGGAGTTGCCTTCATGCAACACAAAGACGATTTGTGGTCACAAATCAGCAACGCAAATTTTCGAAAACGTGCCTTGTCAATATGGGGAGGGGGGATTTTTCCTTTTGATACGAGAAGCAGCGCGTGATCAAGATCGGGGTGCTATTGAGAGGAAAAATCCCCCCTCCCCATATTGAAAAGGTATGTTTCCAAAAATTTGTGTTGCGGATTTGAGGTCACAAATCACATCTGTCATGCAAGACGACAAGGGCAGAAGCTTTCGCCCCATTAGGGAAGCGATTTGTCATGCTGGTGGGCTTAAAGGGGAGCCGTTTGCCATGCTGAGCAACTAGACCCATACGCCCCTACCTAGCCTGGGGATCTGGCCGCAGTGCCGCTCTGCAATACAAAGCTGATTCGTGGCCACAAATCAGCATCACAAATTTCCGTTTTTATATGGGGAGGGGGGATTTTTCATTTTGATAGGTGCGGACGCTGGAAAACGTTCCAGTGAACAAGGGCATCCAGGAACTGCTACTGGACGACGCCTTGGCTGAGTACCGGAAATCCAAGGCAAAAGCGGCCGCCACGATGAGCCAGATTTCGAAAGAATTTGTCCAGTTGGTCGACATTGGAGAGGATGAAACCTACGAAGAACCTGCCGCGGCGCTGCTGCAACTCGGCGCGAACTTCCTCCAGGACGAACATCTTCGAGGACCCGCGTATGCATTTGTAGAAACGTCGTGTGTCGCAGCTACTAGCAGAACCAGTTTTATCGTGAGTTGCCTTTTTGCGAAATAATTTTCGGAAAACGTATCAGCTCACGTGAAAAATAGAAATACGACAATTTAGACTGCGTCAAATATGGACGATTTCGATCATACTTTTGTGCAGCTGCATACTGCGGGTAATATTTGGACCACGCCAAACGGGAACAATGCTAATTTCGATGAATTTTCCGGTTTAGTGGACTTCAAAACGGTACCCACATCAGCCTTGGATGCGTCGTTCCCGACCTTGCCCACGTTATTGGAAGAGGAAGAGCAGGGCTTTTCTCTTGCGAATTCCAACGAAGCAAATCCGTATAGTAGTTACGCCAGAGGTGGTGTAACAACATCTTTCCCTTCCAGTAGCTCTTTGAGTGTATTACCAGAACAACCCCCCTTCTCCTTCCTGCAACAGCAATCCTTGTCGCAAGCAAGTACTTCTTCTGCGTACCGGGCGCCGACGAACCCAAAGATGATCAAAACGATGTTTCACGTGAGTCTGACCGGCCTGGGGCAGGAGCAGGCGCTGGCGCGCGCGTTGGCCTCGCGAGCGGGGAAGGAAAGGTTTTTGACCACCTTCATGGAGCTCACGGCCAGCACCGGGCTGGGCACGGAGATTGGGCTCTCCATGAGCGACATCCGGTCCGCGGCCATCTGCGACACCAATCTGCTGAGCGAGGGGGAAGAGGAAGAGAAGACGTCGAATCTGCTGGAGCTGGGCAGAGATGTTGACGAGCAGCAGGGTACTATACCTTCTGACAACACCATGAAAATGTCGTCCAAGGAAGTTGCAGACGCTGTTCCTGGTGTACAGGACGAGAATAAGTCCCCGGGTAGTACGAGTGGAACTACAGCTTCTACTTTGGTCAACCGTAAAAAGGCCATGGTCGGCGCGGCCAAGGAATCCTTCTCCATCGCAGTAGCCACGCCGACAAAAGCGGTAGTTTTATGATAATGTGGTCGCTGATCTCTCTGTCTTGAACTTTTTAGTTCTTTTGTCACGTAATTAAAGTGTCTCTGTGTGTCTGTGCGCAGGGCAGCTGCACGAAGCTGGGATATATCTATGTCGCGAGATAACAAAAAACCATGGCACTATTACAACAGTTTCCGGAGGCCCTGGTCGGCGCCCTTGGGGCGGAGAAGGTTACCTCCACGGCCGCGCCCTTCGGTCTCGGGACGCCGGTGTTTCTCGGGAAAAAGTGCGAGTTTGTGGTGGTCCACGCGTTGGAGAGGCCGGACGTGAACGCGCTGTCCTTTCAGAAAGCCTCGTTTGCGGTGATGGGCTGCGACTCCACCGAGTTGGGCAAGGGCGAGCCCAACATCGACGTCATGGCAACCCGGTGCACCGGCGCCGCCGTTGAGGATTATGCTGCGAGAAGCGGGACCTTCAACATCCGAGCGAGCGGGTGCGAAAGCACGCAGAACACGGTGCCGGCCCCGGTTTAACTAGGTAGGGATCTTTGACAACGTGGCGGGCTGCTCGGGGGGAGGCAAGGATACTTATTTTTTTGTAGAAGTTGATGTGCGTGGTCAAATGGGCAGGAGGGGCAGGGCAAAAACAAGTAGGATCTAACAGAAATATGAAATTCAAAAAATTCAGCCGCATTTTTACTTCGCAAGATGGAAGCTACACCAAGGCTTTGATTCCAACACAACTAAACAAGAGTCAAATTCCGACTCAAGTCAGAACATTTTAGAATAGAAACATACGTCGACACTGTGAAAATAATGTCCAGCGACTTCGCAAAGAGTCTAAGTATGTCTCAAAATGAAATTTGTACACTAAGGTTTCATCGTTTTTTGAACAATATTATAGTAATGCTGCATTGAGTCTTTTTCCTCCTCGGCACGTTTCGCATTTCGTTTCGAATTTTTTTTTTTCAATCTGCAAGCCCGCGCTGTGATTTCGCAAAACTGCAAGAGCAGTACGAGGACCTCGTACCATATTCGCAGGATTGGCAATGCTAGTACTGCTAGAGCCTAGTGCAATTTATTCCCAAGGAAGTCATGATTTTTCGAAAGTCGCGATCAGAAAATGAATGTGATTCTTACTAGAACGGTGAGTGTAAAAATAATGTACGGCCTCTAGGCGACGCTGCACAAGCAGAATTACTGCGAACCAACAAGTTACTTACAAACTTTATGTGAGGATGCAGTCGCAGTGCCCTACCATGCTCCTGCTGGGTCCTCACAGTCACGCAATAGTCTGCGTGTTTGCGTGTCGTCCTGCAACGCGAGTAGTGCTTTAATTTTTCTTTTTGTGCGCAACCAACGAGAACTGAACCTGAGAGTGAAGTTGCGAGTCTGTTGAGTGCAAGTCCGCGGAGTTCATCTGAGATTCAAATTTTAAAAACCGGATTTTCAGAGCGAAACAAGGTGTGGCGTTTTCGTGTGATGGAACAAGCCAAGTTCATCTTGAGGGTGAGTCAGTTCTTTCTCCGGCGTCAGTAAAAGATCATACAACGCTGCAGCGAGGACCGCATGAAGATCTCCAAGGTCATCTTCGTGGTGCAGTAGATCTGTTAATACTAGCTGTGTGGACGAGCAGCTGCGCAAAAGAATTCGGGTTTTTTCAAGAGGGAGCAAAGAGTGATTGAACTTGAAGGCCGCGGCTGCCGGTCCTTCGTCAGAAATAAGCGAAAGAAAGGCATCAGCCGAGGAGCAGGAGGTGAGCGCACCTGCTTCACTCCTAGTAATCGCCATAGACGGATATAATCATGGCCGGTGCGGTGCTGGCAGCTGCAGATGAGGCATTTGTATAAAGGTACACTTTCTGAAAGAACGACGAGGACCACCAAGACCAGGCTTCGACAGAACAAAAGGGCAGCATCTTCAAAGCGGCTCATCTCGTGGCGAGGGCGGCGTGTAACACGGTGTGATTTACTACAGCTTGCGGCTTTTTTAACTACCACCTCGCTCGCGTACGCCAACGATGCTCTGCATTCATCCCAGCACGGCGTCGTCGTCGCGGGGCAGGAGAAGGAGCAGCGCGAAACAAGAAGACCTTCTACGGAGCAGGCAGCCGCCACTGTATCCTCCTCTATCCTGAGTAAAAACTGTTCATCCACGAGGGCGACCTCATAGTCATTCGAGATGGTGACCTCCACCTCGCCACACGAACGAAAAAGGTTTCGGTGTGGCGCATGACAAGGTTTTGACACTCGCAGTGAAAGAAACTCGTGGTTCTTAGCTAGTAGTGTGGCTCGATGACTCACAAATCGATCAGCTAGATATCGTGATGATAGATACTAGCAGGACTAATTCCAAATTTTACTCTGAGAGAAAAAATGCTGTTTTTCAGGCTGATGCGCATGAGAAACTACTGCATGATTGTTCTGGGCACCATGCAAATCTGCATGACTGCTCTGGGGTGTCGTGGGTCCTCGCGTTTTTGCTCAGGATACTATCCTCCTCCGCCTCGGGAACAGGGAGACCGGAGCGACCGCCAGGAGATAAAAGAGACGATTTTTATCCGCAGAAAGATCGAAACAGGAGCGGGGCGACGGCACCGCCAGACGACGATATTTCAGGAGGAGAAAACTACGATGGCCACGAGGACACGAACTCGCATGTTCTGGCCGAAGAAATCGAGTACACTGCGGGCAGTTCGAATACTGGCGAAGAAAACGGGTGGCACGTCCGGACTTTGCACGAGGAAAAGACGCGACGAGAGGAGGACGAAAACAATAACGAAAATAATCCCACAGATAAACGAGCACGACAACTCCAGTCAACTACGGACAACGAAGCAGAGAGCACAAGCACATCGTTTTCATCCGCGCATGCGCAGGATGAAAAGAAATCCAAAGGCGAGGTCGTGGACGATTTTTCACCCGAATCCTACTTCAAGCACCCATGGAATTGGCACAGCGAAAGCAGAAGAGCAGGAAATATTAATGGGGGCGATGCTGAGAGTGTTGATGGCGAGGGGGACTACCACTTCTGGAGCGACGTCGTCGGGGCGAAAAGTAGGGCAGGATCAGCTTCTAGGAAAGGACAACGCGCTGACGATGAAACAGACACGGGACGATCGCGGACCGCGTCAAGCTCCTGGAGGTTGCAAGAATCATCAGAACATCAAACGGCAGATAGTAGAACTGCAGGAGCAGAGCCACAGCGAGGCGCTTTTTCCGAACAACGACCGGATCAGGACCAACACAGCACTCGTCCCAGCGCAGGAGAAGGTTTTCCTGCCAGCGATGTTCTTATTGAGAAGAAATCACCTCCTGCAGAAGTGGTTCTCGCGAACACTGGGCACCAGCAAGAACACACCAGGGAAACCTCCACGGAAGACGTTCGAAGTAGTACCAAGACAAGCAAAAATGGCAAGCAACCGCAAGTGTCCGAGACCACAGCTACCGGCGAGGGGTCCCGGAAGTGGCGGTACCACTACTGGAAGTGGGACGAGGCGGAGATCGCGCAGATGCGCGACAAAACCCTGAATCCAAAGCAACAGGAACTGTTCAAAGACCGCCTGACCTGCGATCCCTTGAAGCTACAGCTGGAGGTCGCTGGGTCTTTGGAAGTAGCCCAGGACCTGCAGCGCTCGAAGATGGATTTACTTTTGGCTAGAACCGCGCGGAATCTCGTTGTCGACTTTTTTGGCAAGTCGCTCAACGGTCCGCCCGAGCGGCTCACGGTCAGATTAGCGCACAACACCGAGAAACCGCTCGCGAACGTAACGTTAATGGAGGACGAGCGGGTTTTAACGTCACAAGGAGGTGCTGCTGCTAACGGAGGTGCGGATTACGAGGACGACGTCGACACAGGCGAAACTAGTACAACTCCAGGGGTGATCCAGCTAGATTTTGAAAGACGCAGGGACACACCTTTGTGGTCGAAGCGGAATGATGATAACCAACAGAGGGTAAAAATAAAAACCTCTACAGAGGGGCAAAATTATGCTGCGGATGGAACGAAAAATAAGTTTGAAACATCTTTGAAAAGCTCCGGATTGCTGGGGGAAAACGAAGGAGAGCCTTCTGAAGAAAGTAGCCCTGCAGGTCGTGGTTCTCTTCTAGGCGTGCAGCTCCCAGCAAACTTTTTGCAGACTGCGATAGAGACCACGAAAAGTGCAACTTCTGCGCAGTTAGGTCTGGGAACGACATCAGCGGTTGCCAGAATAGAACGGATAGCATCTTCTTCGAACAAAAGCGGCCGTGATGCGCAGAGTATCAAGAATTGGAAAAAGAAGAGACGAGAGCAGACGAACAAACAACAATCGCAAACGACAATCACTCCCCAACAAGATTACAAAGAGATCGCGTTCGACTTGATCTCGCAGACCCTGTTGACGAAAAAAGTGGAATTCCTCATTGCCGCCACGTTTACCATTATCCCCGACATTTGGTGCCCGGAAAACCGAAAGTGGAGAAGTCTGTTCCAAAAAGCAATTCAGGAAAAACTCTCCTTCAAGGACTGCAAAGTGACGAAAGTGCACGGGGTCCGGTTGTATTACCCCGGGATGAGCAGTAAGCCCGTGAACGATTTTCTCCCCGACGTTTTCCCGCTTGCCTACCCTGTGAAAGAGCCACCGTTCACGTGTCGAGACCTTGTGAAGGGCGGGAACCTGTGTGGCGGCCACGGGTTTCTGGGGTACGGGCCCTACCAGTCGAAATTTGGGACGACAACGACGACCACCACAACAATCCACGGGGTGAACATGCTGATTCCCCTGGAGCTGAAAGTCAAGCTCGGCTCCGTCCTGTCGATCACGGATTTGAACATCGACCGGGCCTGGCGGGACACCATGGAGCAGGGGTTCCGAAACGCGGCGGTGTTGACGCTGTCGGAGTTCAACGACGGGGTGAATACGACCTTTCCAGACGGATCCGCGAGAATCTCCTTCCGCGGGTGTTTTTCCTACACCGAGTTCCAGTCCCCAACGCAAGTGTTGTTGCCCTTACCAACGAATGCGTCGATGGGGAATCTGGATGACAACTTGCCGGTGGAGAGAACTTTCACCGCCATGTTTTTGGTGACAGTTTTGACGAATCCGTTCGAGAAGGAGAACAAGCAGGGAACATCAAAGTATAATAAACCCACTTATCTCCCGATAGGCTTGCTTGGGAGCAACGCGACCTTTCAGCAGAATTTCGTTCTGAATGCAACGGAGCTGCTCGCCAGGCCGGAGCTGAATCACACGAACTTCCTCGTGAACGCGTCCCGGTTCTACAACAGCACGCTGATCGCGGACAAATACGGGGCCTTTGTGGGCGACTTTGAGCCGATCGAAATCGTCGACGCGAAACTGGATGTGAAGCAATCCCAAACGAGTGTTACTACTGTGCAGCAGACGGGGGCGATCGTCCCGTCGAACCTGTTCTTCTTCCTAGTCGTGCCGTATTCCATGCAAGAGGCCGACTTGAACAACGACGATGGGTGGAAGCTAGCCACCCGGACCATGTTTGCGAAGGCCGTGAACGTGCAGCTGCAGAAGGTGAAATACAACGAAACGGTGTTTGTGACCAATGACGAGAGGTTCATCAGTAACGAATTTACCAGTTGGGGAGTGTACAACGTGCTGGACGATACACTGGGGAATGTGTTCGGTTTGGACGGAAATAAAGGGACAAATCAGAACCTGACCACAACGGAAAGCGACTTCAACAATTTAGACGACTACGAGTCGAGACTGACGATGAAGTTCAAACTACCCTGAGGAAAAACGTTCCCACCCCAGAGTTGTGATGCAGATTTGCAATGACAAGGACATTTGTGATGCGCATACCCACGGTAGACATTTTCAATCGTGTTTTGCAATTTGTGATGCTATGAACAGGATAAGCAGATGGATCTGTGATGCAGCTGCACTTGCTGACGTGCACTACACTACGGAGGGCAACTTGTCATGCGTGACTCCCCGAAACACAATCACCCGAAATTTTGGGTTGATCAACTCACCCGAAACACAATGCCACCCTGCAGCAGCACAGTCTGTTTATGTCATGCGTGACTCCCAAAAGTCCTAGGTTTGTGTTGCAAAATCCCCATCTTGACTCTGGTGGGGGGACGTTTTTACTCAGGATACAAACAGCCGCAGCCGAACCCGATGGAGAGAATCTTGGAAGAAACCAACAACACGCTCGCCATGTATAAAAATACACCGGGAGGTGGAGGTTTCAGCAGTTCAACG